TCCCCCACCAATCAATCAATCAATCCCAATCAATCAATCAACCAATCAATCAACCAACCAAATCCCAATGAATCAATCAATCAATCATTTTATTTTATTTTTCATTTTATTTTTTTTTCACCCTTTTTTTTAATTTTTATTATTTTATTTTATTTTCACCCTCAATTCATCCCCCTCCCGAAATGCGTCTTTTTTTTTTTTTTTTTTTCCCTCCGAGGGGGTGGGTTTGGTGTTGCGCAACCCCAATCAGCCACCCCCAACACCGCCATCCACCCCACTCGCCTCCACGCGGGCTTGAAAATCCTTGCCCGTGCGGCCATGGCCGGGGTCGTGGTCCCGGCTGCGGCCCCGGCCTTGGCCGCACGTGGGGGTTACATAGGCAGCAAGGGAAAGATAGCAAGTGTAACAAGTCGAGATGGAGCTTGGTTTTTCGTAAAAAAAAAAAAAAAGGGACTGCGTGGGGCAAGCTAGGCGGCCATCGCCCCGGTATCTCTAATGACCTGTGTAATTCTATATGGGACGCTGGGCCCGGTTCCCAGCACATGCTGCTCCCCACGAATAGACTGGAGCATTTGTCCCCACAAAAAAAAAGAAAAAAAAAAAAAAAAAAAGAAGAAGAAGAAGAAGCTAGGCGGCAACTTCCTGTGGATCGGGGAGATTGGTGCTGGCCGAGACTCGGACAGAATCACCACACCAAGAAGACTCCTCTCCACCAGGTCACCACGAAGATTATGTAATACTATGAGTCCCTGCTCCCCAAGGTGGACATTCGCGAGGAGCTGGACGCCAGGTGGTCCAAGCGTGGCTGGGTGCCTGATACGAAGCTGCAGAGGGGGACACCGAGAGTATGGAGAGAGCAAAATGGCCATTCCAAATCAGAAACAGGAGGCCATGCTCTGGGGAATTTATCACTTGGCGGTCCCCGCTGCACAGTGGCAGGGGGGGAAAAGTCAGTACGTGGAAACACAGTAAAGAGCTGACTGTGGCCAAGTAGAAACCATCCCCCACCTGTTCCCCCAATGCCCGGTTGTTGCACAATTGTGGCATTGGTGGGCAAACGAGATGGCGGACAAGACCCCCCTGGTGATTGCAGAAGACGGTGTGGCGGCCATACTGCTGGGATCTGTGGACAGACGGGATAAGCCGCATTTGTAGGCAGGAGAGGTGGTGCGGGCTGCGATTCTCTGGGCCATCTGGACCTCGCGGAACGACAGAATCCGTGAAGGAAGGCAGACTACTCCGATACAGCTCAAGCAGCTATCTTTGGAAGGATTGCGGCCGGCGCTCTCGGCAGAGGCGGTTAGAAGCCGAAAGTCGAACCGAGCAGGACTTCAAAATTCTGGAGAGTCTGGGGAGGATATCCGGAGTTGGTCCGCTTAGAGGGCCACGAAGGGGCATGGAGGTTCCGGCCGCTTCTTAGAGTAGAAGGATCTGCATAGGATTAGGTAGACAGTAGTGTACCATAATAGATCATTGGAGAATTGCCTTACTGTGTGTGATAGTGTACCATAATAGATAGGTGAGTGAAAGGGATTTTCCGATTTGGGACATCTTGGTCTGAGTGGTGTGTCACAGTGGTACATAATCATTGTCAAGATTTTTTTTTTTTTCTTCTTTTTTTTTTCTTTTTTTCTTTTTATATTCCGAAAAGCGTTCAAAGAGGCCGGGGACCTCACAATTCAACCCGGAGTTATCCCGGCAGCATCAGCCGGTTTAGCTTACGTTTTAGGACTCATCCTCGGAGCAATGTCAGGAAAGAAAAAAGGAAAAGAAAAAAAACAAAATTGTGCTTCAGGCTTTCAGCCAATAGGGTGCCGCCACAATCCGAATTCTTGGTTGTAACGTCTCTCTACGTGCATGCGCCCTCTCTCCGTGAGACACGGATCCTTGGGCCCCAAAGGACCTCGCGAGGTCCTTTGGAGATGAGGAAGATTTGGCTGGGAAATCCTCAGAGCCCAAGGATTTGTCCTCGGAGTGTTTTGACATTTTTATTTCCGATTTCATCTCTGAGGACAGGTGGAACGAAGACGAAATCCTTGGAATCACGTCCCCAAGGAGTGTCTAACGACGCCCATACACCAAATTCAGCTATAATGACCGACCGTACCTTGTATTCGGGGGAAGACTGTAGGGCCGGGCAGGTAGGCCCTTCCTCTCTTCTTTCTTGCTGTACTGATTTTCCTTGTTCTGTTTTTGCTGCTTGCCGGTAACAAGTAACCGGACTGGTACCCCCCAAAATAGAAGGGGTGAGTGTGTGTTGTGTTAAAAAAAAAAAAAAAAAAGAACGAACAACAAGGTGGAAGCAGGAACAGAAAAAAATACAAGTATATAAAAGGGAAAGATTGAAAAACAAAAAAAGCTGATGATAGATTGTTTCGTCGGAATTGCACCAACTCATCAGGACGCTGAACCCTCGACAATCTGCAGAATCAGATTCTCTGTATTGACGGTCTGGGTCATGAACCCTTTCACCCATGTTGAAGGCAAACTATCCCCAACTTCTTCCCAAGTGGAACATAGCACGGGGCCGCAACCCTGTGGAGCACCACGCAACGCAGTAGAGGCAACACGGCTGCACAACACCAAAAACGACTGCAAGGAACAACACGGCGTGCCTGGACACGCAGCGCAACAACCACGCAGTGAGCCACAAGGCAACACCACCAAGGCAATCATACTGCAAGCGACGGCAGGGCAAGCGGATGAGCAGCATAGCAACCATGAAAGGCGGTTGCCTTGGTGGTGTTGCCTTGTGGCTCACTGCGTGGTTGCCGCGCTGCGTGTCCAGGCGCACCGTGTTGTTCCTTGCAGTCGTTTTTGGTGTTTCCTTGCAGTCGTTTTTGGTGTTGTGCAGCCGTGTTGCCTCTACTGCGTTGTGTGTGTTTGCTGTGTTCCTTGCAGTCGTTTCTGGTGTTGTGCNAGCCGTGTTGCCTCTACTGCGTTGTGTGTGTTTGCTATGTTCCTTGCAGTCGTTTTTGGTGTTGTGCAGCCGTGTTGCCTCTACTGCGTTGTGTGGTGCTCCACAGGGTTGCTGCCCCGTGCTATGTTCCTTGCAGTCGTTTTTGGTGTTGTGCAGCCGTGTTGCCTCTACTGCGTTGCATGGTGCTCCGCAGTGAAGCACTCATAGCAACCAATGGCATCCAGTGAAGCACAAGGCAACACAAACAAGGTAACCGAACTACAAGGTCCGCAAGCAAGGACACGGCAGGCACGGCCAGCGGAAGGGTGGCAAGGGAGCACAGCAGCAAGGCACAAGGCAACATTGTCAACACGGCCACAGCACACAGCGAAGATAACAGCTTGCCAAGAACGACCTGTGAAGCAAGCGGAACGGGCAGCAAAGCAGCAGTGGAACCCAAACGAGGCAGTCCAGACATCCAGCATGGAGCAAAGCAGCACATTACCTACTCGCATCAAAGGGCAAACCCTGCAGACTGTTAGTTCCCACCACCTACTGAGCCAGGGAGTCGCTCCGACAAGCATCAGTCGTTTTTGGTGTTGTGCAGCCGTGTTGCCTCTACTGCGTTGCGTGGTGCTCCGCAGTGAAGCACTCATAGCAACCAATGGCATCCAGTGAAGCACAAGGCAACACCAACAAGGTAACCGAACTACAAGGTCTGCAAGCAAGGACACAACAGGCACGGCCAGCGCAAGGGTGGCAAGGGAGCACAGCAGCAAGGCACAAGGCAACACCGTCAACACGGCCACAGCACACAGCGAAGATAACAGCTTGCCAAGAACGACCTGTGAAGCAAGCGGAACAAGCAGCAAAGCAGCGGTGGAATCCAAACGAGGCAGTCCAGACATCCAGCACGGAGCAAAGCGGCACATTACCTACTCGCATCAAAGGGTAAACCCTGCAGACTGTTGGTTCCCACCACCTACTGAGCCAGGGAGTCGCTCCGACAAGCATCAGTCGTTTTTGGTGTTTTGCAGCCGTGTTGCCTCTACTGCGTTGCGTGGTGCTCCGCTGTTGCATACTGTGCAGCCACACGGGCCTTGCATGGCAAGTCCCGGACCTCCAGCCTGTTTCCCTACAGGGAAATTTCCAGGCTCTTGCCTGGAAGCTTCCTTCTGACAGGGCCTACAGGCCCCAGCCTGTTTCCCTACAGGGAAACTTCCAGGCTCTTGCCTGGAAGCTTCCTTCTAACAGGGCCTACAGGCCCCAGCCTGTTTCCCTATAGGGAAACTTCCAGGCTCTTGCCTGGAAGCTTCCTTCTGACAGGGCCTACAGGCCCCAGCCTGTTTCCCTACAGGGAAACTTCAGGGAGCTTCCAGGCAGGCTCTTGCCTGGAAGCTTCCGCAGGGTCTAGGCCAGGGAGGCATTGGCACGACCAGCCTCCTGCACGGGCCAGCACTATAAAGGACTGGCCCGCCCTGCAGGAGGGGGGCAGTAGGCAGAGGTAGTCTTCAGGATTCGGCCGCAGCACTCAGGAGGAGCGCTGCAGTAGTCTTCAGCGCAAGGCAGTAGTGGTAGCGCTAGCTGTAGCCTTCGGTGTTGGGCGCCATAGTTGTAGCTGTAGTCTTCAGCGCTGGGCGCTGGTAGGTAGTAGATCGCAGAGTGGGAGAGAGACTGGCGGAGGCCAGTGTTACTTACCTGTGGCGCCATCACTCCAGCTCCATCTTCGCGGTACCTGCATCAAGGCGCCAACTTCACAGGTTAGTACTGGACACAGAGAGAGAGAGAGTTCTTCTTCTTCCTTTTCTAAGTCCACCTTCTCTTCTCACCCTCTCGCCACCTGACTTCTCAGACTACGACAGAGAGAGACAGAGTTGTGACTGGAGACTTGACGACATTGGATCCAGACTTGACATCTGGGATTCCGACAGTTCGACGAGGGACTATTTGGGCTTGTGCCGAAGACTTGGTGTTGACGACCTTCCCATCTTTCCCCTCCTCTTCGTCTATCCCCTTCCTCCTCGTCTGTGCATGTTCTGGGCTCGCAATGTCTTCCTGTGTGAAGCGCCAGACCCATTCACACTATGAAACGATGATGATGATGTATGTTCAGGGCTGCATTACAACATTGATTGTTCGGATCACTGGTATCTAAGTCTTCCGCTGTGCTATCTTGTACTTTGTATTGAAAGGTCGGTTCTTGTTCTGGTCTGCACCTATACGGTATGCAACAGTTTGGTATCGGAGCGGAACTCTCATACAGAGGACCCGCTCAATCAAGTAGCCAGCTTGCGATCTATTGATCACTCATTAGTAACGCAAGTAGGACTTAGTCAAATCTCTG